CTCAGCTTTGAAAACGTTTAAGGTCACCGTGGTGGTCTTCACAGGAGGCGGAGCCTGACTGACATGGAGAGGCTGTTCATTTCATGTGCAGCCAAAGGAAAAGGTACTTTTGAACCACAGTAACGTGGGGTGGATTCTGATTTAAACATCATGTCCGTCTGAACTAACACATCACAACTCAAACGCCTCTTCACACGGTGTTTGTACAGTTGTTTAATTAATCCATGAGCTCCTCCAGGATATTAATCCCTTTTTTTTTTACCTTGGAGAGCTGTTCAAGGTACCACTTCATTCCAAGACTGAATTTCTTTAGGTTTCTCAGCTGGTCAGTGTTCAGAGCGGCATCTGTGGTCATCCAGCCCCGAGCTGCTGGGACCACTTCAGTGACCCTCGCTGCACCAGTTTTCTTTTGTTTCCTTGTTAATACCAAGTATTACCCACAGTCTCAACACTCAGACACAGGAAGCCTTGAGTCTAATATGTACTGAAAGTCCAGTCACAAATATATATAAATATAAACATACACCTATAATCCATCATGATGACCCAAATGAGTGTCAAAGGTCAACAGCCAGGGTTGAATAGAGAAGCAGCTCTTCAGCTCTTAAACATCTCGCTCCAGAACGCTATCACTCAAACTTCACTGCTGCAGCTTCTCCCCTTCATGTCAGTCTACCTGTCAACACTTTGACATGTATCATCTCTTCTCCATCTTTTTCCCTCTGTACTGCTGCAAAAACAAATATGACATAAAATAATAGTTGGGGTCCACGTGTCATCTTGGGGGTATCAGGTGCTCGCCGTGGCCGTGTCCTAATGAGCCACATGTGACCATTTAAAAAAAAGGACCCATCTGATCTGCCCAATCGCCTCATTACCACCCAATACATATTAATGTCCAGGGTCACATCTTATACATACAACATACATATTCATAGCACACACGCGGGGTCATATATGTATCTCCATGACGCTGGCGTGACGGCTTTACTGGTTGGACTCACGTCCTTTATTCCTTGATTTGTTTTATTGGGAGCAGCTGTTGGCCAGGTTTCTGACTTCCCAGAAGAACAATGGAGGAAAAACACCAAAGGACAGGTCCTGTATGGGACTATTAATAATGGTATATGTCATTAAAATACGTTTTTCAATACATTCCAATCCCTGTCCCAGAGTTCACACCAGTGGGATTTCTTTTCTTCTGATTACTCTTCTCCCATCACTTCAGAATCCAAACAATAAATAAATAAATAAATCCTGTAAATACTCAGTACTGGATTCCTTTAGACATTAAATATAAAATACGTGTTTACACAAACACTGTCAGCTGAGGATATGGAATATATTTGCACAGTTTACAGATGGCCATCATGTGTTTGGATGACAAGAGGAATACAGATGAAGGCAGTGAGCCCAAAAAAGTACATTTCTGATGAACACTAACAAATAAAGTGTCTTCATCGAGACAGAGGGGAAAACAAATCTGACAAAAATAATCCCAGTGTCTGAATAAAGCCAAGGAAAAAACATGATCCCAAGAAGTGAATCGTAGAGAAAAGATGTTTTGTAGTTTTCCATTTAAGTTAAACCCCTGGGTCAACATAGGGTTAGACAAAAACAAAATCCAATAATAAAAGTTTGGAGTGAGTATGTTTAGGTCGGCCCTTCAATCAGCATCGCTGAATGACTTTAAACTGGAGAATCAATGAATGTGTCACCTGTCTGAAAGGGTTAATCCCAGTCCAGGGCACGGAGCCTAAACTCACTGCAAATACACAAGTCAGAAAAACAAATATTTGGAAACTGGCAGCATCTAATCGTCACACGAGGAGCCTGGAGCTCAATACAATCAAATGTGTAACCAATGATTTGTACAAGGAGCGGCTGAAGAGGCTACCAAGACCTGAGGAACCTGAGTGTGATGGTCCTCAAGAGGCCTGTAAACCCGATCCCAAGGATTAACCACAAAATTGCAAAAGGAGCCCACCTCAACATGTATGTGCTGTCTGGAGAAATAATGTGGGTCATAGTGAATATTGACTGAAAGAATATTAAGAGAATAAAACTCTCCTCTATTGAATTTTACATAAGCCGCTCTACAACAAAAATAGAAAAATCACATTTACACCACGGATGGGTTCGAACACTTCAGTCTGCTGTGGGTAAAATCAAGGAAATATTGTTCCTTATAAGTGATTAAAAATAACTATATCATCTGCAAAGAATGGTAACAAATAGCACCAGTGGAAATGACTGTTGATTAGTGGCGTTAAACGTCCAACAGTGTCTCATAAGCTGGGAAAAAACAAAACAAACAGTCGCTACTTTATGGCTTGTCTGGAGACAAACACCTACGACCATTATCAGAGGCAGAGGAAAAATCCAGCCTGCAAGAGTCTGCTGTGTGCCCTTGTAGTTTCTGTACAATAAATCACACAAAAGCAGATAATGGAGTATGTTTTTGGACAGTATATCCTCGGAGGAATTCATGGAGCTGCAAAGAACAGAAATAGGTGTGTGAAACTTAAAAAAAAATAAAAAAAACCTAGAGCCTGAGAGAAAGGTTAAACCTTATTTTCACCTCTTCTGCAAAAAAGTCTAAGTGTGAGCTCCTCAAAAATATTCTGTTTTTGGAAAATTATCACAAATAGCTGCTGGCAGCTCTACCTTCAGATAGAAGTGAGGGTTACAGGCGCCAAGAGGAAATTTAAAATGGTATTGATGCCTGTGGCGTGATCTTCATTTAACACAAACAGCCTTTAAGGTCACCTTTGATGGAGTCAGGACGAGAGGTGAACAGTACAGTCAGAAACACTGACCACTGACACTTCAAGGTGATTGTTTTTCATTTTATGTCAGAATATGGTGTTTCAATAGAATGTGATTAATTTGTTTTTTGTTGCCCCCCCCCCCAACTCCCTTCCCAGAATTAATAGACGTGTCTCACAACAAACTTCATCACAGCCATCGATCAGCACATTTACGACTCTTTGTCTTTGTCTTTGTCGGGCTCCTTCACACTGATGCCTCTGATGACCTTCCCTTTGTCCTTCATAAGTATTTTGACCCTTTGTTGTTCACTGGTTTTCCTCACTGTCATTATTCTGCCCCTCACCAACCACTCCCCTGACTCTCCCTCCAGTACCTCCGTCTGTGGTTCTGTTTACACTGGCCTTCATCTGAATATTGCTCTATATGTAAAACACTGCTGTTTGTATGGAGTTTTATTTAAAATCATGTGATTTAAATGGCTCTTTAAAAGACAAGGGAATAAAACAAGTCAACGGGGAAATGACTCACACACACACAAACATACAAGGACACACACACACACGCAACCATACATACTCACGCACGGCCTGCCTGTCTACATGCATCTGAGTCTATTATTATGCTAATGAGCCTCTAGTCTCCACATGTCCTCCCAACCTCTGAACACACACACACACACACACACACACACACACAGAGGGATATATTTTTGCTGAGCTCAGCAGTATAGCTACACTCCAAAGGCTAACAGGGAAAAAAATGAGGAGTGGACAATTTTGCAATCATAGAAATAGTCTTGATAGAACTGTTGTTACCTGGTGTGCGATCGATCGGCCCAAAGACACAGTCAATGAGACAATCACGCCCACTATCAGCCACTGACGGATATCCTTCAATACTTCTGCTCCTTTTCACTTTTTGGAAGAGACGTGGACGACCGGGGTGTCAAACAGTAACAGGTCTGAACTGGACAAACAGATGTCTCTGAGCAACACACTATATACGTATATAAATATATATATACAAATGTTAAATGTAGAACAGGGGAGCTGGTATTTGTTGTTGTCTTTTGTGAACTTTACCAGAAAAAAAAAATCTCAGTCTCTGAAGAATGAGACAAAGCTGAAAGATTAGATGTCCAGACATAAACTCAATAGAGTGAAACAAGACATAAATGAGGCAGGAATGTGGAGTGACAACCAACAAGACGGGAGTACTGATGAGTCTGAGGACATTACTTAGTAATACATCCCACTCACACACGTTCTGTCTCACTTAAACATTTATCAGCGAACTATAAAAAAGTTAACTCTAAGTCTGACTTAGATCTTACATAAATACATAACATTACTGATTACATCACAGCTCCTTTGTGTGAACAGAGGCGTGGAGTGGGGGGGGAGGGGGCTGAGGGTCTGACAGTACGGCCACATGCAGGTTTAAATGTAAAGGTTTGGTTTTGAACACAGCAGATCCAGGATGCACAAACACATGACACCACAGTCGTGTCCCTCAGGCCCCCTGGTGGACACTGGACACTTTCCTACATTAGCTGTGTGTCCATGGCTCTGTGAAGTCAACTTCTCTTAAAACAACTCTGGCCCAGATGCAACGACTAAACTAATGGTTAGAATGGATTTACAAACAGAAGCTCTGATTGGCCCATGGAGAATCACTGATTTGCATTAATGTAAAAACGAAGGACCTGCCTTCAGTGCTGCAAGAAGACGTATTTTTACTGGTTGGTTCAATGCTTGTTAGTTACCTCCGAGAGGGTGTGAGCAATACCTGAGGTGATAAGGGTTTTTTCACCCTCTGTTATTACTGCCATGGTCTGTACAGTAATTTAGCATTTTCTAAATTTTCATAATAGGGCCTGAAGTGTTGTTTTACAGATATATTAGTCACATTTTCTCTGTCATCGTTACAAATTGCTCCAAACTAAAAGAACCATTTCCATATTTTTTTCTCCGTATTTTCTACATCCAGTCTTTTAACAAAACAAATACCATAAAAAAAAAAAAAGAATCAGCGTCTGTGAGCACTTGAAACTAAATAATTAAATCCATCCCAGGGCATCACGGAGAGCCGATGCTGCTCCCACCAGACAAGATGCTCTTTTTTCATGAATAAAATTAAGCACTTTCACCTCTCTCTCCCTCTCACTTTGTCTGCCCCTCTCTCTCTCTCTCTCTCTCTCTCTCTCTCCCTCCCTCCCTCTCGGGGTATATAGCCGCAACAGCTGATCTTGTGCTTCAGAGAGAGCTGCAGCTCCGCACACGAAGAGCAGAGATAAAAGAGAGAGAGAGAGAGAGAGAGAGAGGGAGAGAGGAGAAGCAAAGGAAAGGAGGGTGAAGGAAAAAAACCAACATATTTTGTAGCTTCTCTGATACTCCAGGTGGAGTTTTTCTCTTTTTTAATGGTATCTTTTCTGAGCAATACTTTTATAGGATTGTGAGAAAACCTCCGCAGCTCGTTTTGTTCTTTTTTTTAAAGAAATGTTTCAGTGACAGAACGTCTTGAGTCGCTTCCTGGACTGAGCTGTTGTGTTTTTGAACCCATTTAACCTTTTATTCTCTTTGACTGTCTGCGCACACCTCAGTGTGTGTGTGTGTGTGTGTGCGCGGTGCTCCGCTTGTTTTCGTGCATCTATACCTCCTAGGAGTGTGCTCTCCACGGAAATACACCCGGAGTTGAGGCACCTGCAAGGGAATCTGAACTGACGAGTGCTTCCTTTGGACTTGAAGAACCTTTAAGTTGAAGGAAACTGTTTCTCTTCTAATTGTTCCTCTGGTTAATAAAGGGAGTCTACGGCGAGAGAAGCTGTCCGGTGCTGAACCCCGGAGACTGAACGCGAGCCGCCAGGAGCTGTTCTTTGTGAGCTGTCCGGTGCTGAACCTAACAGACTGAACATCAGCTGCTCCCTGAGAGCTGTCCGGTGCTGAATCTCTCAGCCTCGGTGGGAGCAGCGAAAGAGCGTTCTCTGGGAGCTGTCCGGGGCTGAAGCGAACAGACGGCAGCTGTGTGGGAGCTGTCCGGGGCTGAACGTCGGCGTTAAATGCCTCCGGTTTAGAACACGGACAGAACAGTATTACTTTTAGCCCAAAACCGCTGTTAAAACAAACAAAAGGGACAGATCTTTTCACTGGATTTCTGTGCCGGGAAAAGCCATACAAGAACCCATTATTTTTTACGTGTGACTCCACAGGTCTTCCAGAATGTAATCTGATCTTAGTTTATTAAAGCAACTAATAAAAAAGAAGACCGAATGCCGATTTAAAATACATTCCAGAAACGCACTTGTAATGTTTAGAGAGATACAAATACAAGTAGTAGTTGAAAAGAACTCATAGAATGTCTAAGGCTCAGGCATTAAGATAAATCAAGCAATAGGTGTTAGATAACGGTTTGGCTTGAGTTGGAAGTCGGTTAGTAAAGAATTCATTTTTCCTGTGCGTGTGGCCTTACACACACCGTCTCATCATGCCTCGGTCATTTTTGGTCAAGAAAGTCAAATTGGACGATTTCTCAGCTTCAGAGCTGGAGAGCTCCTACAGCGACGACCGAAGAGATGAACTGAGTCTGCAGTTCCATCACCATGATAAAGGTAAGTCACTCTACCACATGAAACACATACACACACACACACAGACAGACAGAGACAGCTGGTCTACTATGGATCACAATGTAGGACATTTCTCTATGACGAGAAGAAAACAGGAACCACTGAGTCCATTCTATGACGACTTAAAGAGAAGAAAACAGGAACCACTGAGTCCAACTCCATTCTTCAGTCAGAGTTTGGACCAAAGTCAGAATTCTGCTTTTAAATTCATATTTCACAACTTAAACAAATGTTGTTCTTATCAGTCCTTTCTTAAGTTATTTACTTATAATATGACAAAGAAGTCTGATGCAGTTCACAGTATCAGAAATTGTCTGAAAAACTAACTTAACTGCAACATCTTAATGTTAAATATACGACCACCACCAAAGCAACTTTTCCATTTGTCTCCACCTGCCAGGTCTTCCTCAAGAAAAATACAAGAACAAAATTTAAACAAACCCTAAGTTGTTCAATCCCATTGGCAACTTAAACAACCAGAAGTTCAGTTTTTTTTCTTTTCTACTCAGTATTAAGACCTGAGTTAAAGTTTAATACAACATCAATGTTCTTTTCTGCCCTTCAACGCATCAAAGATCATACATGAGCTACACAGCAGAGATCAGAGATCCAGGCCATGAAGCTCGTCCACAACACAACAAGCCTCTCTGCTGCTGGTTAACAAAAACAAAACACCATAAATATTTCTAACTGTTATTTCAGCAGCTCTGAGTCCCTCCTGAAGAGTTCTATAAAATGTATTTCCCTGTTTCACATTCCCACACACCGGACTCAGTTACAAAGGCAAAATACAATAAAGGAGTGGAGAATTGACATTATTGACCCGAAGTTCAATTTCAAACATTGATATTAAATCCTGCCTAGAAGTGCTGAACACCATGGTCTCAGGTTTACTAACAAGGTCGTTTGATTCCTCTGTTTGTGGTGATGAGGAAAAAAAATGTATGGGAAAGTACAGCTACAGCATCGTCACGATTTCAAGGGTCAAGAATTTAGCGACGGCAGCACCTTGTTGCTTCTGGTCAGAGGGATGAGCGATGTGAAAATGTGTGGACTGACATGTTGGTTAAGCTGGGTGTGTGTGTGTGTGTGTGTGTGTGTGTGTATCAGCTCGTTCTGGCCAAAGAAAAACAAAAGGAAAAAAAAAAAAGCACAGCTTTAGAGGGCGAGGGGGGAAGAAGGCCGTGTGTCAGTGTGCAGTAAGAGGTGTCACTGTAACCCTGGAGGGTTTCTCTTTGTACCAAGGTCAAATGTGAGAGGGAGAAAATCCCAAGTGCTGAAAATACTGAGCGAAGCAGGAACAGCAGCGGCAGAAGTGCAGGAAGCATGCAAGGGCTGAAATTGCAAACCTCTGTTATAAAAATATAACAAGAGTCAAAGCAAAAGCAACTGCTGCTTGTTGCTCTCTCTCTCTCTCTCTCTCTCTCCCCCTCTCTCTCTCTCACACACACACACACAAACTTGCGCACGCAGACAGGAGAGAGTCAACTCTGCACATTTCTCAGGCAGCTTTCCTTGCACAGCTGACTGCACAACACTGCACACACGCACCATGTGCTACACACAGACACACACGCAGACAGGAGAGAGCGATGACCAAAAAAACACACCCCGTCATTTACTTCTGATACCAGACTGAATTAGACAGCAGCGTGCAGCTTCTTCTTTTTTCTTGTGTTCACGTCTCTGTCCCTCCGTCCCTCAGTCCTTCTGTCCATCTGTCCTTCTGTCCATCTGTTGTTAGGCTCCCCTCTCTATTTCAAAGCAGCTTCAGTGGCTCTGTGTCCTGCACAGTATTTTAATCTTTAATAAGCTATCAGTTCTAATGCTGCGCGCAGGCACTTTGAAACCAGCACAGGGTTGACACAGCGAGACAGAGATGGAGACAGTCGGCGCGAGAGACGAAAACAAACAAACAGACAGAGACAGTGCCGAGACACAGACGCTCAGACGCACAGCAGCGTTTCATCAAAAGAAGATTCAGGGGAACGGTCCTCTTTAATTGGCAGAGAGCAGACAGAGAACATCTTTGAGAGGGAGCAGAGGGGATTGGAGTCAGGTTTTTATTTACTGCGTCTGAGTCATGTCTGCCAAACTCCTCCACGCTCTGAGTTGAGTTTTAGTCCTGTTTAAACCCTCCATCTTTCCATCCATTTATGCCTCATCATCATTCATTACCATCAAGTGGGAAGGTCAAGGTGAACTGTCCAATGAGAACTGGGACGTCACACCTCTACTATGAAGATTCATTATATATATGTGTGTATGTACATTTCTACTTCAGGACTCGCCAAGATAATTTCCCTCGCAGCGTTAGCAGCAGCAGTGTTAGCAGCAGCAGCGTTAGCAGCAGCAGCACAGCCTGAACAGTGGAGACAAAGCTGGTGGTTAACTCTAAAATATGACCCTATTATATGACTGCAGGGAAAAATGAGACTCATCAGACCAGGCCGCATTTTTTCGATATTCTGGCGTCCAGATTTGATGAGTTCTAGCTTCCAATTCCTTCTTTACAGCTGACAGCGGCACTTACTTTTTCTTCTCTTGATTGTAACAGGTTGTTATTTTAGTGGCACTTTTCTACTTTACTGTTTTCCCTCGGAATTGTTGTGCAGAAAACAGATGGCGGTGCAGTTAAGATGCCAGTACATCGGTCACATAAATCCGACTTCTTTTCCTGCTCTGGTCCTCAGAGTGAACTTTACAAATTACCTGCAGGCCTTTAAAACACACACGTGTGGAGAGAACACTTCCTGAAGGCGTCAAAGCTGATTGGCTGATGTTGGATCACAGGTCTTTGTGAAGAGCCTTTAGGTGTTCTCCCCATGTGTTTTCTCTTTGAGTGGAGATTCAAATTTGACTAAAGACATCAAGTGTGGACAGTGATTGTCTCTGTATGTGGTCCTACCATGGACTGGCAGACCTGTCCCTGCAGACTGGGACTGGCTCCAGTTCCCCTCACACGCTTGAGGAGGATTAAGCTGGTGGAAGATGAATGGAGAGATGAAGTCGATGTGGAGTTCAAGTTCAAGCTGATTGTTAGGGAAACAAGATGTTTGTTGTTTACACAACAAGGTTCAACCTCAGTGACAAGAAAGAAGTCAAAGTGACAGTGAGTGAAAGTTTATTTCAAAGTCTCGAGCAGAGAGAAGTCATGTCGTCCGTCTGAATATGGCCAGTTTCTTATGCATGGTTTAACTTTTGCTCTATTAAACACCATATTAACCCACTGCCTTCTTCCAGAGTGCAACCATAGAATATTTATGACTTTTTTTTTTCTTCCACTTTTTCCGCACCCCCTTGTCTTCTTCGCCTTCGTCTTCCTCCACAGCCACAACAATAATTTAATTTCATTCAAAACATTAAATTATGATGAGAGCAGTAAACAGCTCCGCTAAACCACCAAACCACAATCACTTGGTTGGGAGTAAAATCACTCTCTTTGTGCTCATTCTTCCCATAATTGTCTCCTTCTTTCATTAGTTCATGCCTCGGTGTCTCCTCCTCCTCCTCCTCCTTCATCTCTCACCTCACCGCACCTCGCTTTTCTCTCCTCCTCCATCTCCGTCTCTTATTCTCATCATATTATCGACCATCTTCCCAGCATTTTCTCAGAACTGCATCATGAAATTATATTACCAGCAATGGTATCTCCTCTGCTGCCTGTGTCTAAATGCTCACAGAGTGCTAATTGAAATGGAGAGCTATTGATCGCCACGGATCCACAGGAGTCACGGCTGTGGGATATTAGCAACCAGTCTCTCCCCGTGTCTCTCTCTCTCCTTTTCTCCCCCTCTCTGAGACTCCAGCCTGTTGAGTTTAAAAATCCAATAACACAAATAATGAAGCGGCTAACATGGCAACGTGGCAGTAGCTAATGAATAAGGTCGGAGCTGGTGAAAAATAAATACATTCAAATTGCTTCAAAGTTTGCGGCCCACAAGTGATTCCATTCACCGCTCGGCTGGAGTGTGAGACTAAAAGGTTAAATGTAATTGCGTCGGAGTGCCCTTGAGCAAAGCGCAGGGATCCAGCTGCTGTGAGAAATTCTCACTGTACAACAGTTTGACAGCTCGGAGGTGTGACTGCGTGATGTTGTAGACCTGTCAGAGAAGGTGCTGCTGCTGATGATGATGATGAGGAGGAGGAGGAGGAGGAAGAGGAGGAGGTAGATGTGCTCTCACTGAACCCCCTCCATGAAAAATAGAGATCTCAAACTCAAGGGGGAAAGTGACTCTGGCAACGACATGAAAGCACTCTCTCACCACAACCTCCTGCTCTGCCTCCTGCCGCCCCCGGAGAAGGTTCTGCCTCACAGACACGCTGAGGCCGAGGCTCTGCCTTAAAGACGTAACTGTGTTGTGTTAATGTTGACGTTAGACCTAAGAGCACATAATGCACATGTTGTTAATGTGATGCTGGATTGATGTCAGGGAGGCAGAGACGCCGGGCTGTGATCAGCAGTTTCATCTGGAGACACTGTGTGAAGGCATGTGGTTAATAATAGATGAACGAGGACGAAGGAGGAAGATCTGCGGCCTGTGTTTTCACAATTATAAAACAATCTCAGATTTGTAATTCTGCCTCTTTACAGCAGTGTGGATGATTCTAGAAGTCCTGAGGAAAAAAAACATTCACTGCTCCACTTTTTTAAATGCAGCAATTATTTTTCTGGCTTCATGGCCAACTTTTTCAAGTTTTTCCTAAACTGTTTTAGCCAACGTCAACAGATGACCAGGCTAACCTTATAGCACTTTTCTATATATATATACTGTATATAACATAAGCTATTTTTATGTTGAGTTTTTTTTTGGCTGATTATGGACTTCTATTTATAATGTTTCTAGGGATTCTTAACTTTTCATTATTTCAAGGTGAACTTTTGGTTCAGGAAAATTCAAATTTCCTTCTAGGGTTTGTGCGACACTTATGAATCGTGAAACAAATCACCTTTTAATTTCCAATCTATCCCGATGATACGGCCCACTGATTTACTTGTTCCTCTGTCTCTTCAGGCTACGTTAGTGATTATCTGAGTCCGAACCCTTACGACGATGTGGTGGGGAGCGACTCATCCGTCATCTCTAAAGTACCCTCCCCGAGCCACTCGTCCATCATCTACAGCCGCATCGATGACACCTACACCAGAATCCACGGCGACATCCACGGCGACTCGGACCAGCCTGACAGCCCGCGGTCAGAGGTCTCGTCATCCGCCGGCGGATACATCAACGGCGATGCGGCCGTGAGTGAGGGCTACAGCGTGGACGCATTTTTCATCATGGACGGGCGATCCAGGAGGAAAGCCACGGGGAATCCGAGAGGCAGCGCCCAGAGGCACACCTGCAGCGAGTGTGGCAAAACCTACGCCACGTCCTCAAACCTGAGCCGACACAAGCAGACGCACCGGAGCGTGGACAGCAAACTGGCCAAGAAGTGCCCCACCTGTGGGAAAGTGTACGTCTCCATGCCTGCCATGGCCATGCACCTTCTGACCCACGACCTCAAGCACAAGTGCGACGTGTGCGGCAAAGCCTTCAGCCGGCCGTGGCTGCTGCAGGGCCACATGCGTTCCCACACGGGGGAGAAACCGTTCGGTTGTGCGCACTGTGGGAAAGCCTTCGCCGACCGCTCGAACCTACGCGCTCACATGCAGACGCACTCGGCCTTCAAACACTACAAGTGCAAGCGGTGTGACAAGACGTTTGCGCTCAAGAGTTATCTGAACAAACACTACGAGTCCGCCTGCTTCAAGGGAGCGTTTTCTCCTCTGAGCTCCACGGGGGAATGATGGGTCTCAGAGAGAGAAGCTGAGGGATTCTCCCCTCTTCATTTAGATCAGAATGTACTCTGGACTCACTCCCTGCTTTTTTATGCTTCCCACAACAAGAAGGCCAGTCCAACTGAGCAATGCAAAAGAGGGGTGCAGTTTCAGAAAAGGATCATGATGCAAATGACAAAAATAGATTGAGACGCATCTGTTTCAATCAAGATCCTTCAGTTTTCTCATTTGCTGCCTGTTTGTCTGAAGGGAAAAGTTTTTGATGCCTGATTTAGTTTGTCACATGCTTGGATGATTAACATCCCCCGTCTGAGGCTGTTTGGGGGAATCTTTGAAGATAAATTAAGCACAGCACATCTAGCTCATCATATTTTGGAAGATATCTAAATCTATTTGTGTCAATTTGAACCCTGTTTTTTTTTCTTTTCTAAAACAACCCATCCATGATGAAACAATCCTGAAGCACAACCACATCCACAACTGCCTGCCGTTTCTGTGAGGAGGAATTCAGCAACACTCAAACACACCTTTCATTCTTTTGCAAATGAACTTATATTTCTGGGCCTTTTTACAGACACTGTTTCAACACCTGAATGCATCGCCTGTCCTGTGTTTTACTTCAAACTGAACCTTACGATGACATGAAGCATCAAAACCTGGAACTCGTCGCTCCACTCGTGACATGTTTCACCCACTGGACTCTGTGTCAGTGGACACTGATGCAGCACTGAACTGTGAAGAACGTGAAGTGCAAACCTGCCATATCCAACACAGCGGTTGATGAGTTTGGGTTTTTTTTTTGTTATTTGTCCTTTACTTGAAAGAACACACTGAAGTGAAAGAGTTACGACAGAAGAACTAGAACTAGAACTAGAACTAGAACTAGAACTAGAACTAGATTCCCAGGTGAAGAAATTGCTTCTGTAAAAACCCCGACTGAGCCACCAGGGGTGTTCCTTTTCTTAAAAACTAAATTGTGTGTTATTTCATTTTTACTTGAGGATTTAGACATTCAAAATGTTCAGATATTTTTCCTCAAAAAGGTCAAACCTTTCTCTCATTGCTGTAAACTCTCCAGTGGAACACGTCACAGTAACACTCCACCTTGATGTTTACATCTGAACGACTATTTATTGCCTATTTATTTATTTATTTATTGAACTATTTTTTTAGCATTACTTGCACATTATGATTTCTTTCTGTTTGCCTTTGTTACCAATATGCCAAAGCATTTGACACTTTTCTATTTACTTTTTCATTTCGTTTGGCCACTTTAATTACAAATGAAAATTGCATGCAAAAAAAAAAAACTAAATAGCCTAATAATGGAATCTATGCCAATTTTGGGAAACTTTGGGAGATTTTTTTGCCAACTTCTTGGAAAACAGGCAACTGAAGCAAATTTTTTCTGGGGCAATATTTCACTCATATCCAAAAGAGCAATAATGCATGGTGTTTTTTATTTATTTGAAAGAAGAAAAAAAATCCAAACAAGTCACAACTGCTTGTAACATCTTGACTTGTTCGATGACTAATACTCTACTGTAGTTATGAGAAATGACATTTCAGGGAGTTAGCAAACCGAGTTAGTGTTGAATAAATCCCGGGGGTCGGAGGAGGAGGAGCTGTGACGCTGTCGTGGTTTTCTGAGGCCTCCGCAAACGACTTCTGTGAACATTTTTGTTTTTAAAGTGGACAAAGTTTCCAGCCAACGGCTGAGTTCGACAGACTCGCGGTTTTCAAACCTGAAACCTGTGCCGGTGTCACTACGTAAACCGACATCCACAACAACTGCCTCCCAGGTATAATCCCATTCTAACATCATTAGCTTAGTGACAATTACGCGTGTAGCTGTCGGGGCTTCCAGGGATTCACACAGATGGCACGGCTCGTCTAGATGGAGGGCTCTGGGTTGGGGACGGGACGGGGTCTCTTTTGTACATGGTTTATGCACTGCCTGCCTTGTATTATTATTCTAAAATATTGTAGAAAGTAGATGGTACTACTGTAGGCCTCTGGTGCTGAAACATGGACCAAAATGAAAAAAAAAAAAAAAAAAAAAGGAGCAGAGTTTCAGGCTCCTGTTGTGGTTGATTGAAACCACTTGGATTGGTGAGACCTCCTGCTCCCCAGCAGTCGTTAAGAGGATCTCTGCTCGCTCCATCGTATTTTACACCTCAGTATTGCAGGGGGAACAATCTCAGCACAGAAGCTCCGACTCTGCATTTTTTTTGGCCAGTGCCTGAGCGTTCCTAAGTCAGCCAGGACATGTAATGCCTGTTATATTCCGGGTCTTCCCAGGGATCTCCAGCAGGGGGAGGCCCGAAACACCTCTCTAATGGGGGGGAGGGGAGGGTCGGGGGAGACATGCAGAAAGCAAGAGAAATCAGGTGACAGGTTCGTCCTAACACGACGAGGCAGAGACATCGCCCTTCGCTCAAAGTCCAACAATTTGTTCTTGAAGATGTTTCTATAAACAGTCAAATGTGGCACGATCTGATAACAACATAATCTAACGTTGCAGGATTAGGATTTAGGCTGGATCAGAAATTATTATCCAACCTGCGACTGACTTAACTTCCTCCCAGAGTCAACGTTTGTTTGTTATTGAAACATTTTCCATTCCGGATGTTGCTGTTGTTTATTCTCAAAATTCCGTCGTCATTTAGTCAATGTTTCAGCACCAGACGGCAAATGACAAACACTTAGATTATACTACGAACTACTGTAGCCTACTATAGCCACAAGCTAGTTTACCTATTCTTATATAAAAGCACTTCCTCTTACAAATTATATCTTGCAACTTTGTTGTTTTGGGTTTGTTTTTTTTTTGTTTTTTTGTTTGTTTTTTTCAAAGATAGTAGCACAATGAAAGCGTTAGATTCAGGTAGACACTGCCTTGTATGTAGGACAACAACCCTCTGCTCTTTTTCTACTTCCACGAGGGTTTTAACATCAACAAATCAACAACAAGATGCTGGTTTAGAAACACACACACACACACGGACGTAGAGGTTGAGAAATGACACAACTTTGTTACAGAATGTGCCATTTTTCAACGTGTTTATCTTCACAAACTTTTTTTTTTATTTTTTAGAGCAAATGGAAACTGTTGTGGCAGGAGGCCTTGTACATAAGCCCTGCTCCAACTGTGGAGGTTGATGATTTCTACAGATCTGTGTCAGTAATGATGATGATGATGGTGATGATGAAGATAATGTCTGATTGACCAATTTTTCTGGAGCTTCCGGCTTTGTTCTGAGTTCTTCCTCTGAAGATTTTTAAAACTGATGTAAAGCACAAACGTCAACACCGGGCATTTTGTTTCACTTCCTAAATAAAATCTAGTTTAAAGCAAATTTTCTCTGAGTTCTTCCCTTTCTTACGGTCAATAAAATTCTCATAGAATATCTTATATTTTTGATGGCTTCGATGCCCCCCCCCCCCCCCACCTGCTTGGTGCTGCTGTTGTCAGTTCTCGGCCCCTGATTAACAACCACATGCCATTTACTCATTGTTATTAATGAGCCTAATTTGCAGCGGAAACAATGGAACCATTGTGGTGCGTTTGTGCCTCCAACCCTCCTGGTTAGAGACTGGGTTAAAATGTGGATCCAACAGTTCGACCCAGTGTACAGTGTATCAACTACACCGTACAGAAACAACCAGAATGCAACAGTAAGAATTAAAGTCAATTAACAATGTGTATTTTCTTTCAAGGTCTGTTTTTTTTTTTTTCCAATTTCAATTATGGTGCGTGAGAGAATAAAAACACAGCACTGGAGAGACCGCCGTCTCCACCGCACTTTTTCTTGATTTGCTGTAATTTCTTTATACTGAGCAGCTCGTTATCCCCCAAAATTTGGCTTGGAGTCAACAATTTTAAATTACAGCATGAGAGGATAAAAAAAAAAAAAATACTGCGAGAGGAGAAAAATAGCTCCAAGCCCAATAAAAGAAGAATAATAGTTTGGGTTGTTTCTTTGTTTTTCCTACAACACGTGGTAAAGAATAATAGTTTGGGTTGTTTTTTTTTTTCTTTGTTTTTCCTACAACACGTGGTTGTTCCATAGATAAAAAGATGGATTGTTTTTTTTTGTATTCAAATATTTTTAACTACTAAATTTACTGGTCTGTAAATATATTAATTGTTTAGTAAAAAAGCTAGTATTCATATATATACATATATCTATGGTTTTTAAAGCAATGATCGTCTTAAATATACTGCTGATGTTTAAATCACTGGTCTGTAAATGTATTAATTGTTTGGAAAATAAGCTCTTCTTCATATATATATTTATACGGTATATATGGTTTTTAAGGCATTGATCATCTTAAATATACTGCTGACCTTGGCCGCTGGTCAAGTGTTCACTGATTCATGATTTGTCCGTAGGAAAAACGTAACATTCTACTGGTAATTCAGGTCCAAACCCTGAGAACTACGGTGAGGTTTTTCTTCTTCTTCTTCTTCTGTCTATAGTCCATCACCGGCTCCAGCTCTGAGGTCATGTATCTTAGATAACTGACCACCACAGGATTTTTACTGGTTTTCAATGATTTCCACTGAAACCGCTCTCCAACGCAGTGTCACTTAGACAACGGTTGGCCACGCCAACGATGCCCCAGGCTGTGATTGGCCGCCGCCGCCTTGCCAGTGTGCTACACCCCTACAGACAAATGACCTTCTATTAAAAGGTGATTGATTTTCTCCTATCCCCAGTAAAGATATTGATCTTCTTATATTGCCTCTGCTCTGCTAATGATACTAATTCTAACGTTCAGTGGAGCTGAAAAAATTCTCACAGATGTAATGCATACTATCAATGTGTGACAACACGTGTGTGTGTGTGTGTGTATGTATGTTTACTCGAACTCGCAAGGACCAGGTTACACACTTCACATAACGGAAGCTAGAAGTTTCTAAAAGGTCAATTTCTGGTACAAATAGCCTACAATTTAAAGCATATATTATCAGACTGTGTTCACACCTGTTTATATTTCTGATCTGATCTAAACCGTAGAATAATTACTATGGTAAAACGTCAAACGATCTGTGGATTCCTACAGTATATATGGCCAAACATGGATGATATTTTATTTATCGTCCCATAGCTTTTAAATATGTTAATCCCTGTTTCCCCCGACACTTGACCTCCTCGCCTGCAGCAGGTGACGGTTTAAATAGTTCATTCACTGTCCCTACGTCTTCACCTTGAATCATGCATTAGGCAGAAGAGCTGTGAACGGCCAACATAAAAGTCTGATTTTGTACCTATATAATTTATTCCATTTGACCCTAACTGGACCAAAAAAAAAAAAAAAATCAAGTCAGTCACAAAGGGATGTTTAAAGTTTAGTAAATGAAGCTAAAAGATCTTTGTTAAATAAAAAAATGAAAATAAATCTGTTCCTACTTTAAAAGATCAATTGTTTTGATCGATCTGTCTGTTGTGTAATGTATGTGTGTTCCTCAGAGCAGTTTAACAAATGTTATCTCTTATTTTGGGCTGTATTCAAAATCTAAAAAGTTTCTTTGTTAAATAAAAAATGAAAATAAATCTGTTCCTACTTGGCTTCGTACCTGGTGACAGTACTGTAGTACTGTAGTACTGTAGTACTGTAGTACTGCAGTCCAGGATCTGTTACTGTTGAATTGGACTGTAGCTAGAAGTCACAGAGACTTGAATTTCACCTCAGACTCTTCTTCTGACTCTGACTCTGACGTCACAGCACGACCAGTGCAGTAAGAACCAAACTGTTGGTGAGACGGTGAAGGCCTGGCACACTCTGATGAGGAGTTACTGCACATGATGGAGACTTTAAACTGCACCTCGTGTCTTTGTGAGCAGAGACGCTCCAGCCTGGAGGCCTG